CTGCTCCTGGTGTCCTTCGACGGCTTCCGCTGGGACTACGACCAGGACGTGGACACCCCCAACCTGGACGCCATGGCGCGGGACGGTGTGAAGGCGCGCTACATGACCCCCCCCTTCGTCACCATGACCAGCCCCTGCCACTTCACCCTGGTCACCGGTGAGTGCCGCCTGCGGATGGGACCTGGGGGCGGTGGGGGCTGAGAAGCCGGGGGGACAGGGAATGCACACAGCCCTGTCCCAGGGCACCGTGTGGGGACAAAGGTGAGCCAGGAGGGGACACTCGCTGGGGAGAATAGCCCCCAGCATTGGCGGCATCTGATAGCGGATAAACACGGGCAGTGGTCTCCCTGGCAACAGCCTGGGGGCAACCCAGGAGGTGAGTGTGGCCGGGACTCAGAGATGAATCTGCGGCTTCAGCTTCATCTTTTTTTTTTAAATCCTCACTCAAGGGTATTTTTCCATTGATTTTTAGAGAGAGTGGGGGAGAGAGAGGGAAAGGCAGAGAGAAACATCGATGTGAGAGAAACACATCGATTGGTTGCCTCCTGCACAACCCTGACCAGGGCCCGGGCCGGGGAGAAGCCTGCAACCGAGGTACATGCCCTTGACGGGAATCGAACCCGGGACACATTCGTCCGCAGGCCGACGCTCTAGCCACTTAGCCACGCCAGCTGGGGCTCCCCTTCATCTTAACCTAACGCATCTCATCGGCCATGACCCCATTTGCAAATAAGGTCGCCTTCTGAGACGCTGGTGGCACGACTCTGGGGGACACTATTCGTGCAGGCGGCTCGTCCGCACGCCAGCGTTTCTGTGACCACAGCCCCGACACCCACCACAGCACCGGCTGTCCCGCCTGTGCCACCTTTTCACTTCACGCGTCGCGGTGGGAGGGGCCCTCACGGCGCCTCTTCCTGCACCTGAGCTCCCGTGTGGGCGTTTCCACGCAACACAAACTGGAAAGGAGTCCTCAGGGCGCCGGCGGCCCATCCACACGTCTGGCTCCGCCGAGGCTGGGTCCCGGTTCACGTCATTATCCCTCCCGAGAGCCACGCGGGCGCCACCCATCTTTTTTTTAATTGATTTCAGAGAGGAAGGGAGAGGGAGAGAAACATCAATGACGAGACAGAATCATTGATCGGCTGCCTCCTGCACGCCCCCCACTGGGGATCGAGCCTGCAACCCGGGCCTGTGCCCTGGATGGGAATCGACCCGGGACCCTTCAGTCCGCAGGCCGACGCTCTATCCACTGAGCCACACCAGCTAGGGCCACACTGATCTTTTGCTAAAACTGATGAGGCTGCAAAGCGATGCCTCCCAGTGCGAACTGCACGGGCATGGGGTGGGGCAGGGCGGGGCTGGGCCACCCGATCAGAGCATGTGTCCATGCCCGTGGTGACGAGCCCGGCCCGTTCCCTCCGCCCCCCGTAGGCAAGTACATCGAGAACCACGGGGTGGTGCACAACATGTTCTACAACACCAGCAGCAAGCTCAAGCTGCCCTACCACGCCACGCTGGGCGTCCAGCGCTGGTGGGACAACGGCAGCGTGCCCATCTGGATCACCGCCCAGAGGCAGGTAATGCCCTCCCCCTGCCCGAGCTCGGGCAGGCCCGTGGCCCCCGGGAGGCCCAG